AAGCACCAGCCTGGGCAACATAGAGACGCTGTCTCCAAAAAAGAAGCAAAAATCTTGTTGAATTTAATGGCAATACACTATTCACTTGCCTTCATGTATCTCCTTTTTTGCTGAACTGATCTAAAGAGAGAGAATTGGCAAGATGCCCGAAAGGAAAGGAAACTGTCAGGATCTTACATTCAGCTGAGTGAGGCTTCCTTGCAGACAAGATGAGTCCATGTTTAACCCTAAAAAAATAAAAATCATATGTGTGGTGTGTGTGTGTTGTGTGTGTGTGATATATTAGTAGGTAAGTGAGTGATGATGATGTTTTTTTTTGTTTTTTTTTGGTTTTTGAGTTGGGAAGTGTCGGCGCGTGTGTGCGCGCCAGGGTTGGAGTCCCGCAGCTTGCGTCGCGATTTTGCTCACTGCAACCAGACCGCCCCCTTGGGTTCAAGCGATTCTCATGCCTCAGCTCCCTGACGGTAGCCTGGGAGTCTTACAGAGTTGCTGGTGCGCAACGCCATGCCTTTGGTTAATTTTGTAGTTTTTAGTAGAGGATGGGATTTCACCGATGTTTGGCCGACCGGCCCCCTCGGGCCCGTGCTCAGCTCGTCATGACCTCAAGTGGACTCCACCTGCCCGAGCGCTGGCCCAACAGTGCTGGTGCATTACAGCATCGCAGCGCTACTGTGGCCCAGCCCAAAAATGTGATTGTATTTGTGTATTTAGTTTTTATGTTATTATTTTTAAAAAATTAATTGCTATCTTTATTTATACTATTAAGTTGTAGGGGTACATGGGCATAACGTGCAGGTTGGTACGAGGGTAGGTGTGGTACTGTGCGTGTGGTGAGCCGATCAACTCGTCATTACATCAGTATAGAGCGCGCGCGCGTGCGCCCGCGCGTGTGCGTGTGATGAGGCCCGGTGTGTCCCGCGTGCCGTGAGTCCGAAGTGATGCGCGTGTGTTGCGGAGTTCCCACCGAGAGGGGTGAGAGCAGGTGGCGGTGTGTTGTGTGGCTGTTCTTGTGGAGGTGCGGAAATGCGAGTTTCCGGCCAGCGTGCATCGCCCATGTCCTGAGCGAAGATGGACGACAAGACTCATCGTGTGTGGAGTGGCGTGGCAGTTAGTATGTCGATGGGTGTATGAGTGGGCCAGCAATTTTTCGTTAATCAATCGTCAGCTGAGGTGGAGCGGTGGTGAGCGAGTCGGTTGTGTGCTAGTTGGGAGTGTGCAATAAGCGGGATGAGCGTGCAGGTGAGTGGGGTTATAGCAGCATAATGTAATAATCTTGGGTATATACCCAGTAATGGGGATGGCTGGGTCATATGTTATCATCTAGTTCGTAGATCCTTGAGAATCGCCATACTGTTTCCATTAATGGTTGAATGTTTACATCCCACCAACAGTGTTCAAAAGTGTTCCTATTTCTCCACATCCTCTCCAGCACCTGTTGTTTCCTGACTTAATGAGTTGCCATTCTAACTGGTCTTCTGTGTCGCTCGCGCTGGGAGTTGGAGACTGGAGCTGTTCCTATTTGGCAATCTTGCTCCGCTCCCTCCAAAAATCGTATTTATAATAGCTATTTCTGAGAGGCCTGTCTACTCCTGCACAAAGAGTTTATATAGCTTCAGGTGAGTCCACTTTTTCATTCAGATAAGCATTTATTGAGTGCTTATCATATTCTGAGCCCTGGTGCAGCACTGGGAATCCTAAGATAAATGAGATACAGTCCTGGATTCAAACAGCAGCTAGCGGAGTGGGAGAATATGATTAGAAAATTACACAAGGAGTGTTTATTGCTTGAAATGGTGCGTGTGCAACAGAGAGCACCCACCACTGCCTGAGACAGGCATCAGGGAGGCCTCAAATATTTTTTAAAGGATGAGTTAGAATTTTCCAGGCAGCAGGAGAAGCTCTCGGACAGATGGCTGTGTAAGAGCAAGCAGTTGTTAGTACAGACTGGGGGAGGTGTGGCTAGAGCTTAGCCATGTGTGGGGTCGTGCTAGGAGGATGGGAGGACTATAAAGCGTCCTTACATATTTTGCAAGTAAATGGCATTTTTAAAATCTCATTACACATGTCATATAGGGGGACAATAACTTACTGAAGGATTTTCACCAGAGTAGAGTGATCTAATTGGCATTTTGGAAAGATGGTGTGAAGGATGGACTGGAGATGGAGAGGCTGGAGCAGGTTAACACACTTTACACACATCTCTTTGTAGATTCCCTTGAGGAAAATATCCACTTGCCTGAGAACTATGCTTATACTTCAATTTTTGATGCTGACAAGTCTTTTTGTGGTAACTGGTAATCAGGGTTTGCTGGGAGGCATCTGACCTCATATCCATCCACTATGATTGGATGGTTTTTATCCCCGGTTTTGATAAGATATTACCTAAGCTTTTATACCCAACATTTGTGGCCATAAATATGTTTTAACTAATTGGAATAAAAGAGCTTGCAAATATATTGTGAATGTCAGCTTCGGTTATCCTTAATTTGCCACCTCTGAAATGGTGACCTGGGTGCCACAGATGCTACAGGTTGGCTCAAATGTTTTAACACTGTAAACACTTTATTTCACTGGGCAAAACTTGACAGTTTTCTATCTTATGTAATTGGAAATGCTATTTATATATTACCAAGAGGATGCTCACTACTTTGCCTCACCTTATTTGTTCTTTGATTCCACAAGTATGCACTGGGCCCCTACTATATTCCAGGAAATGTTCAAGGCACAGTGGACACACTGTTGTGTAAGACAAAAAAGGTCCTTTATCAGGTGATCAGTGCCAAAGAGAATTCAAGTAGGTGATGGGATGGAGAGTGCCTCAGGGTGATACTCACGAAGGAGCCATCCATGGAAACTGTCAGGAGGAGCACTGTAGGAAGAGGGAATAAATAGCTGGCGCAAAGATTTAGACTGCTCCCTTGTGGCTTGCATTCATTCCTGCTTATTTTGTCTTAAGATTGTTATGACAACCATACTCTATGCATCGGGAAATAATCTGTGGCTTCATATAGAAATACATTCATCCCTCAATGGATGAGTATAACTAGTCCAAAATTTTTGCTCATAAGCCTGGTCTGGTATTGTCAATCAATCATTAATTATTGTTAAAGGAGTAATTTCATAAAGAAATTTATAATAAAGTGCTTCGTATTGCCACATATCAATGCTCAGACATGTCTCTACTAGAAAGAATGAGAAGCCATTAAATGATTGCCTGTTTAGGTGGAATCACTGTGCACGTGCAGGAATGTTGCAATAGTGGCTCAGATACAGCCAGTAGCTCCTCTAAGGGTGAGATGATTTTCTGAAATAGTAAACATTTCTAGACAAATTTTGAAACAAAACAAAGCACATCCTTTTCTACATTGACACAGTCATTGCATTCCTGGAAAATTCCGTGTAAGTACTTTGTATTTAATATATAATATTGCATAATGATCCAGGCTCAGATAATAATTGACAGGCAAAATGAAGGACCTTCTCACTATAGTGGGATATCTAGCATTCCTGACTGCCTGCTAGATGCCTGTTGCAGTCCCTCTTTCCAACTATATCAACAATAAAAATTTCTCCCATGAAGTTCCAAGCACTCCTCAGGAATGTGAACCACTGAGCCACTGGAAGGAGTTTGGATTTATTCAAAGTACTATGGGAATCCGCTGAAAGATTTTATTCTGGGAAGTAACATAAACTGATTTGCATTTTTCTGAGTGCTCTGGATACCTTGTGAAGAAGTGGTAGCAGGGGCAAGAGTGGTGGCAGGGCGACTTTGGCAACAGATAACTAGCCTCAGGCAAGGCAGCAGGGAAGGAGCAGAGATGGAAAGAAATTCATAGACTATGGATGTTTTCAGGGTGAAGGCAACAGGTTTTACTGATGGTATTGATGTAAGATGAGAAAAGATTTTTGGCTTTAGCAACTGAGTGAATGATACATACCTTTGTGGAACCTAGGAGAAATCTGTGGCTTTTGTCTTCTTAATGTTTTTAAATTTAATGTGGTCTGAACTCATGATCCCCGTGCCACTCCCAAGTTTGAGATGACAGCCGTGTGGAGATGTTAAGTTAGATATATGAGTTCCTGTGAGATGCTCTGGTTGGAGACACATCTGGGAGTCAATGGTACACAGAAGGCATCCAAAGCCCTGGGATTGGAGACGTGAGGTCACCTTGGGAGAGTGGGTGGATGGAGGAGAGAAAGGCGGCCAGGATAGAGCCCTGGGGACCTTCAGCACTATTAAATGAGGCACTCTCTTCTATTAATTACTCCATTAAGAGAAAGACTGAGGTTTTTTAACATTAATTGTAATGGGAATACTCAATGATTGATGACACCAGTTTGGGCTTATGAACAGAAATTTTGAAACGAATTATACTCATTTATCAAAGCATGAGGGTGGACTTCTTCATGAATTTCAAATTATTTCCCAATGCATAGAGAATGGATATCATAATAATCTTACGATACCAAAGTAGTAATTAGTGTTTGGATTAAGAGCAGGCTACATAAGGGAGGTCTTGGACTTACGTTCTCATGAAAAATTACAGATAAAGTCCATTAATCAGTATTTATTGGTCACCCACAGAATAGGCCGTGACATTTTTCAGTTTAAAAATTACTTTCACATTTTCTAAGGGAATTTGATAGATTCAATTTTCTAAATTAAAAAAATGTAAGAGCCTTATTGAGGTATAACTCTTATACCATACAATTTTCATCTTTAATTTGAAGTGGTTACAGTGCATTTTCAAATAGACATATATAAGTTAGAAACTAAATTACCCTGCCAGGTTAACAAAACATAAAACAGCAATTACTGTTTATTGGGCATCAACTTAGGTGACAGGTATGATAAGCAGCATTTAATTGATCCTAATCCTCCCAGCATCCCTGAAGAGTATATCTTCCATTTTACAGAGCGAACATCCCACCTCAAAGGATCTGGAGAACTGGCCAGAGATCACCCCAGAAGAGAGTACAGGAGCCAGGATTTGGACGCAGGTCGCTGGAACTCAAATCCTTTCTCTTTCCCTTACTTCATCCTCCCCTTCATCTCCTGAAAAGTGGAAGCTGGAGTCTGGAACACACACAGAAAACCCTCCACCCATTTTAAGGATACACCAAGATCAAAACGCATTGATATTGGAATCTTACTAGTTTGAACTTTAAAGCATTTTACTGCCATATAGGGATTGGCTTCAAAGAAATGTTTTAGTGGTGTTACGTTTAATGCCTTGTGTTTATGTAGAATTACATATCCTATAAATGTTAGGTTGGCTTATCTTGTCTCCCCCCTCTCAAAAGGACCTACGCCAATTTAATTTTCTAAATATATTTAGGCAAGTGTTGGAGGGTGGGTAGGAAAATTAGTAGGGACATGAGTTAATGGATTTTACTAGGTTCAAGTGAGTTAATATATGCTGACTGGTAAGGGTAGAATCTGCTGTGTACTTAGGCAGACATCCAGGGCAAAGTGGCTGCCAGTTCACCCAGTTATGAGTCATACACTTCCAGAAGTGGAAGAGGAGACTTTGATGTCTTGACCAAAGGAGACAAAATTACACTACCAAAATAAATCCTTGCCTAAGAAGGACTAAAGAAGTATATGGGATGTGGAACTCTACAGAAAGAGAATGTCCAAAGTCATGGTGAAGCCACATACTGACTGTGAATTCCTGGTGGGGTGAAAGAATGACTGGGATGTGATTTCAGCAGCAACAGTGGGATGTGGGTGACAGTAAGAACTGAAGAGTAGCTAGAATCTTTTGAGGTCAGCAGTGCTCTGAGGCTGAGGATGGGAGTCACAGGTCTGAGATCAGATGTGGAAATCATTCAAGGTAGTGTAACTGGATGGAAACAAGGATAAAGAAATTATTTTAATATTGGGAATGACAAGGGTAAGGGATGCCCTAAAAAGCAGCTGACTAGTCTATAAATTAAAGGTGTGGTAGGGAATGAAATATATGAAAATTTACATTTGTAAGTACCCTGAGAGTACAATTATCAGCAAATAGGATAAAACTTGCAAAATAGTCACATCATTATCTTCAAGTCAGGAATCTACGGATGAGATTCCTGTTGGAAGCATTAGGGGAAAATTGGCAGGGTCTATTTTATTAACATCAGCTATACACGTACCGAGCACCGCTTTTTTTTTTAATCTAAATTTTTTATATTTTTTTATACTTTAAGTTCTAGGGTACATGTGCACAACGTGCGGGTTTGTTACATAGGTATACATGTGTCATCTTGGTTTGCTGCACCCATCAACTTATCATTAGAAATACATTAGGTATTTCTTCTAACGCTCTCTCTCCCACAGCCCTCTACCCCCCAACAGGCCCTGGTGTGTGATGTTCCCCGCCCTGTGTCCAGGTGTTCTCATTGTTCAATTCCCACCTGTGAGTCAGAACATGCAGTGTTTGGTTTTCTGTCCTTGTGATAGTTTGCTGAGAATGATGGTTTCCAGCTTCGTCCATGTCCCTGCAAAGGACATGAACTCATATTTTTTATGGCTGCATACTATTCCATGGTGTACATGTGCTAATTTTGTTAATCCAGTCTATCATTGATGGGCATTTGGGTTGGTTCCAAGTCTTTGCTATTGTGAATAGTGCCACAATAAACATACATGTGCCTGTGTCTTTATAGTAGCATGATTTATAATCCTCTGGGTATATACCCAGTATTGGGATTACTGGGTCAAATAGTGTTTCTAGCTCTAGATCCTTGAGGAATCACCACACTGTCTTCCATAATGGTTGAACTAATTTATACTCCCACCAAGAGGGTAAAATCATTTCTACTTCTCCACATCCTCTCCAGCATGTGTTGTTTCCCGACTTTTTAATGATGGCCATTCTAACTGGTGTGAGATGGTATCTCATTGTGGTATTGATTTGCATTTCTCTGATGACCAGTGATGAGCATTTTTTCATGTGTCTGTTGGCTGTATGAATGTCTTCTTTTGAGAACTGTCTGTTGATATCCTTTGCCCACTTTTTGATGGGGTTGTTTGGTTTTTTTCCTTGTAAATTTGTTTGAGTTCTTTATAGATTCTGGATATTAGCCTTTTGTCAGATGAGCAGATTGCAAAAATTTTCTCCCATTCTGTAGGTTGCTTGTTCACTCTGATGGTAGTTTCTTTCCTGTGCAGAAGCTCTTTAGTTTAGTTAGATCTTGTTTGTCAATTTTGGCTTTTGCTGCCACTGCTTTTGGTGTTTTAGTCATGAAGTCCTTGGCCATGCCTATGTCCTGAGTGGTATTGCCTAGGTTTTCTTCCAGCGTTTTTATGGTTTTAGATCTAACATTTAAATCTTTAATGCATCCTGAACTAATTTTTGTATAAGGTGTTAGGAAGGGATTCAGTTTCAGCTTTCTACATATGGCTAGCCAGTTTTCCCAGCACCATTTATTAAATAGGGAATCTTTTCCCCATTT